TCAGACCTCTCCAGCATTCTGTGTAATAGATTATTATCACGTATGCTGATTTTAAAATGTAGAGAAGAACCCTGAAGACAAGATGAAATGACTTGTCTAGAGCACTATTGTTCTCATTAGTTCTGTCATTATTTGCGGGGGGGCGGGGGGGGCTCTGATTGAATTCAGTATTTTCTATCTGTAAAGTTCTGACCTACAGTAAAATCTCTTAAATCAGTGTAGAGTAGAAACAGGCCTCTGGGTCATAGATTGGGTCATTTGAAAAGATTACTTTATTTTAAATCATAAAGAAAAATATTACTTCTCTCAGAAAGAATAGCTCAAATAATTTCTTTGCGAAGCGTTGTTACTCTAGGTTATGGATAAAAATACACAACAGATAGTATTTATATGCATTGCATGCAATAATTCATTTATCTTTTCCAAAGCCCTATTTTGCAGGGGAGGCACTGAAAAGTTAAATAACTTGACCAGTATCACACAGCTAATGCATTGAGATTCAAAATGAAGCACTTGGGCCTACAGTGCTGTACCTTCACCACACTGGATTCTGTTTTACTTTCATTGAGTTTGGTAGGTTTAGCAGTGAGGAGGCCCTTTATTTCCCCCTAAGTGCTTTGCTCATCATGAGAGGAAAGTGTCACAGGCAGGAGGGGGTGCCTCCCCTCTCATCCTACTCTGCACAACTGGATGTCCCACGGGTGTGGTAAAATGAAAGGGATTTTAGCACTCAGTAATACTTTGAAAAAGAAAAAGACAACTCTCCACTCAAGTGGTTGAATAAAACAAATAGCCAACAAAATAAACATAAGGCTATAATTTGATGCCATGTTCAAAAGTTCATTGCCCTAAGTACTAGAAAATTCCTTATTCATGCAGAGCCATTGAACAGATCAGTCCATGTAGTTTACCCATCTCTTGCACTGGTGACCCGGGCACCTTTTCCAGGTCTGACTATATCAGGCAGACCCACTGCACATCTGCTGTTTGTCTTCCTCAACAGCCATCATCTTCACAATCTCTTAATATGAAAGTGTTTCCAGTGAGCCATGGGAGAGACCCCAGTTCACTTTCTGCTCTCAGCGCCTACCTCCTCAAGCACATTAGAATCTGAAAAGAAGCCAGTAAAATTGATCTGCTGCAAGAAGTTGCTGATTTAAGTCAAATCTATGAACTCCTTTTGGAAATCAGAATAATTCTTCTCTGTTGCTTTGCCTTAACAAGAGTCCCACCTCTTCTGAAAAGTACCTTGGCATCCTTTATGAACTACAATTTTAATTCACTTTTCTTCAGCAACTAAGACTTTATAGCCTACTTCTGCTAGGGAGTTGGGGGTTATAAAACTTCAATCTACACCTGAAGCTGTGTACTGAAAAGACTCAGTATTCTTTCAGAACATTCATCAATTAAAAAAAACACATTTAAACTGAAAACACATTTAAAAACCTATCAGTCTCCTGCAGAGTTATTTTATTTTTAAGTGAGACAGGGAGAGGGAGCTCATTCAATTCTCAAACAACAGAATCTTCTTCCTGTCCATGAAAATTAGAATAGTGTGGAAGAAATGGCTGGATCTTTGAATTCCATTCAACCTGGGTTTGAATCTTGTCTATTACTTAAGTTCTTGAGCCTTCATTTCCCCATCTGTTAAATGGAGTTATAATGCTATCACTATCTGTGGGCAAAGAGAAAAGTTATATTTAGCCAAGTGAGAAAAGATGGCAGCAACTTGATTTGAAGATTTTTTTTTTTTTTGTATAAATACTCCACTCTTTCTAGCCCATGATTTGGAAAGACAGCAAATAGTAACTAATAGGTTATTGTAACCCATTTGGAGGCTGAAAAAAGGTTGATTGGTAATAGTGGAGGAGTATAGAGAAAAGAGCTGAAGTCTTAGAATTAGGTGATTTTCATTCTTGGCTTTGTTGCTCATTAGCTGAGTAAAGCTCAACAAGTAATTTCATTTCTCTGAGCCTTGTTTTCCCTTTATGCAGAATAAAAATAGTACTATCAGCTTTCCTACCTCTCAAAACTGTTGTGAGGTCAAATTCAATAATGAAATGTGTTTTGTAAACAAGGGAGAGTGAACTGGCTGAAATACAGGCGGCTTGGGGGTGGGTACTGGCTGCAGGACCTGGAAATTACTGGATGGTGCCACCCTACCCCTGGGACCCACCCAGGTCCAAACACCTGGGTCTGTAAGCATGTATCTTTGGATGCAACTAAGATGACAGTGTTTATACAGAGAATGTTGATGGAAAGCAGAAGATGAAATACTGTACTCTATTTGGGAGAAGTGTTTTTGTAAGTTTTTAAAGGCATGTGTTTTACCTAGCTAGGAAATTTCACTTAGATGTGCAACTTGAGAGAGAAAACTTGAGGTAGGCCTTGTTACTGGAAACAATGAGAGTGATACTAGAGAAGTGGAAGGAAGAAGCAAAACATGGAGGGATGTTTTCAGTTTGGAGCAGGATTTCCACTTACCATTGTTAAGGCTTAACATTTTAAGGTTTAACATTTGCAGAAGAATAATCAGCCATTGTGCTATAGTTAAAACATCCAGGCACTGACTTGCAGAACATCTGTGGTTCCTCTGGGCTAACCTTGTCTGGTGTTTTGAGGGAGGAATCACTATCTTTTCCAAGTATGCAAAAGGCCAGGAGTCTCCACAGAAGACCTCTTCTTTTTAAAACTTATGTGGTGATAAATGTGTGCTTGGGATCCTGTTGAGCTAAGAATTCCTTTGAAATTCTCATTTCTCATTTCTTTCCGTGGCCCAGAGATAGGTCCTGGCCACATTTGGGTATGAAAACTCTTCAGCCTGGCTGCACCTTGAGAGTCATGTTCTTTTGGAAAAAGAAGGCTGTTTTTTCACTCAGAATAAGTATATCCCTCTCAAAGCAGTGAGGGCTCTACCACAGTAACAGAACCCATATGTTGAAGCTGGCGGCTAATGCTCAGCATATGGGCCAGTGAACTTTCCAAGCAGAAATATGCCTATAATTCTCCAAAGAATGCCCTGTAAACTCCAGGAAAGATCATTACTCAGGTGAGGGATGGCACAAGCCCAGCTTCTGGCCCTTCGGTTCTGTGGCACATGAACTATGGAAAGCAAGAGAAGAGGCCCTGGCATACAGCTCCTCCGTAAAGCACCAGGCTCCCCCAGAATAGCGCAGGGCCTTATCAACACCGGGCTTTCTCTGCTGCTTAAGGAATGGTGACGCTGTGGGCTGTTGCTCGGATGTCTATTACACTGAATAGAAACATCCCAGCCCTGCACTGCTTGCAGCACCCTGTAGGGATGTTGGCACACGTCCCCTCATCTGGAAAGTGAGGAGGCAAGGCAGGGTACTATGTGAGACCGCTGGGACCTTGCAGTGTAGAACCAAGAGGCACCAGACTCCACCTGGAGAGGCATGATGGGGCAAGCAGCCACAGCCCATCTTCCTGGCACCTGTGGCCAACATGATGTTCCAGTGTAGCCCTGGTGCCACAGGCTACAGTCAGGAAAGGGGGAACCTTCCATTGCCCTCAGGTAAGAGTTCAGTGCTGGGCCCAAATGGATCTCAGCAGCAGACCAAGTAGGGATGGGACAAGCCACCCCCAGAGCTGTACTATTGTTCCAGTCAGTGTTTGGAAAAGGGTGGACTCCCCCTCTTACTCTCACAGAGGACAGCCCAACAGTTTCTCTCGGCCTCTATCCTGGGCCCATTTTCTTACCCTTACCCCCTCCCTTTTCAGTTCCTGGCTTCATGTCACCATCCATTTCCCTCTCCGCCCCCTGCCCCCCGCTGGGTTTTCTGGGACCTGCTTTGTCTGTTGTGAGATGGTTAGGAAGGCTGCACCTCCCAATAGTCTGGCCCCTCACTGGCACTATCTTCTCAGCCCCAAGCACGCCCTTTGGTCCCTGAATTCTGCTGAGCACTACTGTGGTCTCTTCATCAAATGCACACAGACTCAGAGCTGCAGCACAGCCCAGCCTGTAAGCCAGTCACCATGGCAACGAGCTTTCCCTCCATTCTACAGTGAAAAGAAAATGGCTGTTGGAAGGAAGGACTCACGGAGTCTCTATGACCCAGCCTGTTTTGCTCAGACCCCTCCTTTATATTGGCTTTGAGGCACTCCATGCATTGAACCAAATATCTGTTAGCCTTTGGCTTTCACATTTACTTTATTTAAGAGGAGAGACAGACGGAGACTGAATTCAAATGAATAAAGCATTTTTTTCTATCCTAAAACTATATTTTCATGAGAGAGGAACAGTTATCTGCTCTAAGCAGATAACTGAGGAGCAGACTAAAGACAAGAATCAGTGAGATCTAGCTCAATGTATTTTCTTATCAGTGCACTAGAAAGACTGAACATATGGATATTCAAATAAAAATTCAGAGAAAGCAGTCAGGGATATAGAAAATTCCACAAGGCTCAGGCTACAGGATTTCAGAAAAGTGTCTTACTAATTGGGGTGATGTCTGATGTTTCTTGTTATGGAAATAGGCATGTCGGTCCTGATGTCATAAGGTAAGGCAGGCATTTGTCTACATCTTCTGCCTCAGTCAGTTTGAGTCTTTCTGTTGACATTCCCTCTCCAAGTGATAAAGCATGGTGGCATGGGGGAATTCTCAAGATCTGAAGTGACACTCTTCCTGATTTGGATGAAATTATGAGGATACATCAGAGTGACCGCCACAAAGGGACTGTTTGGGCTGTTTCTGTGAATTCAGAGTGTGGCTGTGTGGAACAGAACCGCAAGCCTTTTCAAGGATCAGAAATGCTTAGGTCAGAGGTCACCCAGAAGTTCCATACCAGAATGGACTGAGCCATGTCCACTACTGGCTGTGGCATAAGATACTTTGGTGGTGGCTAGTTCTCAAAATCCCAACAACTTCCACCTTTCACTCTTTCTTAAAGTGATCTGGGGGACCCTGATTTGAATGAAAGCAGTGAGCTTCATTTCAAAAGCTTGAATGTATGTTTGAACTGGACTTTGTCTTTTTCAGTTTCTCTGCAGGTGGATATTGTTCCCAGCCAAGGGGAAATCAGTGTTGGAGAGTCCAAATTCTTCTTATGCCAAGGCAAGTGCCCCTTTGTCCTACTGCATTTCAGAGTTTGCCTTGAAAAGTATATCAGGGAGAACAGAGAGAGACCTGATGGCACCTAGAATTCTTGTCATTGCTCTGCTCTGGGATCAGTAGCGTGACCATTCAAATACCAGGGTAGCTCTCAGGCCCTGTTCCTTTCTCTCCAACACTCCCCCAAATTCACAATGGAAGAGACATTTTCTTAGGAAAATCAGAACAACTTCCAGACAATGTATCATCTCATATCTCCTGCTCTGTCTATACCCACAGCTCTGGAAAATACACTGGAAAATAGCACTGACTTAGAAATAATGCTTCAGTGGATCCATTTAAAGTTCATTTCTTAGAATCTCCTAGACCTAGAAAAGCTAATATTTGCCCCAAAGTAAATTGAATACTTGTATCACTCTGGTTGTAAGGACGTGTATCCTGGATTTTCCAGGTCTGTTGTGAAAGTCAATATTATTTCCTATGGCCCCTACCAGACCTCTGGGATATGTCAAACCCAGTGTCTATGTTATTTGTTTAGGAAATATGCACCATTTCCACAGCTCCGATAATTATCAGATGTCCTGGGGAGGAAAAGATATCCAATTAGGCGTACAATTCTCTGTGTGTAATATGACTAGGATTCACAACATGGCAGGACCTGGAAAGAGCTGAGCTGGTTGTAAACTGTGACATTATCAAGCAGCTTTCGGCAAAGAGGGGCCTTTAACTGTTAATATGATTTGCATCAGATGAGGTGGCTGTGGCCAATGGATGCATTCACTCCAGCTTTGCCTTCATTACAGAAATTTCAGTGATCTGGAGATGCAGTCGTGGAGCCTGCATCACATCTTGCAAATAGCGATATTCATTGAAAACATGATGGGCACTGAAAGGAAGACTGCTTCGTTTCCATACGAAGCATCTGCGCAGGGCTGGGTGTTATGGGCTGAGAAGAATGCTGTGCAGAGGCAGGGTGAGATCTCAGAGCCCTTTGCCCTGCCCCAGCCCAAAATCTTGTATGCTCAGTAGCAACAGCCTGCCCTTCTTACGCGCCCAGGGAAAGGATGCATGGGTGATGCTGGCTCCCTTCTTTGCAACATGTAAAGAAAGAGATGAGTTTGTTTGTTGGAGGCAGCTGTACTGAAATGGAAGTCATGGCAGTTTGGGCAGGTAGATGCTGAAATCAAAGTGGTTGGAGTCTGCATTCCTAGACTAGCAAGTGTCTTTTGTCCCTAGCTCAGGAGATCATTATCTAATTCCACAGAAACAAGCTGATCCCTGGGCACTGACCAATTAAGTCCTTCAGTGCAGATCTTAAAACATACTAATTGCCTTTACTTCCCATTCTGTGAGGCATGTATAGCTGCTAGCTTAGTGACCAGCACACGATGGATCCTTAACAAATTTCTCTTCCCTCATAAGGGAAATGAGCACAAGTGGTTCTTGAGTTCCTTCCAAGTACTCCAGGAGGTACTATGTATGTAATAATTAAACACAGAAGCCAGGGCAGAGCAGTGTGACATCCTAATGTGAATGGTCAGCCCTCCCTCACAGTCCAGCCTTGATTGACCGGCTGTTCAGTAGTGCTTACTGAGTAGCCACTATCACTCTGGAAGGGACTTTGTATTTTCGATTTCAGTGGTTTGAAAATAATCTCTTCATCTTTAGTAGCAGGAGATGCCAAAGACAAGGACATCTCCTGGTTCTCCCCCAGTGGAGAAAAGCTCAGCCCAAACCAGCAGCGGATTTCAGTGGTGTGGAATGATGACTCTTCCTCCACGCTCACAATCTACAATGCTGACATTGATGATGCTGGCATTTACAAGTGTGTGGTCTCTGGCGAGGATGGCAGTGAGTCCGAGGCCACTGTCAATGTGAAGATCTTCCGTAAGAGACACTCTCTTTTGTATTCTCTGTCCTCCCCTTGATCAACCAGACACATGGGTGGGTAACAGAAAAGGTGAGATAGTATTCAAAGGCTCAGTAAGGTCCTACAGCTTGCTTTTTCTCTCCCTCTCAAGTCTTCTGACCTCACTCAGAGTTCTAGTATATTCTCATATTGTCTTTGGCCAAGCCAGAACTTACAAACCTGATTCCCCCTGGTCACCACTTTTCCCAGCTGGCTTCCATTTTTCAATTACCCAGTTTCCAGAGGTCTGTTATGAGTCCCTCTTGGCCTTCCCTAAGTGTTGACTGACAGGTATAGAATTCAGGCTTCTCTTTCTTATTCCACTTCCCCCAGTGGTAATGGAGTCCAAAGACTCGCTGGGGTGAGGATGATTATTTGAACACTGTGTGCCACTCATGGCAGGTAGCTCTATTTCCACTAAAACCCATATAGAGGTGGCATCTCACTACTTTGTTATTGTGTGTCTGGTCTGTCTTGTTGGCCTCAGTCATGGTGGGTGAAGCTAACAGAACAGTATTGATTACCACAGGGTTTATTGTCATTATGCATGCTCTCCTTCTGTTCAGAATTCTCTGCTGTAAGAAAGTTGGGGTAGAGTCGGGGTAGGGACCAGAAAGGGAGACCAAGAAAAGACCGATGACTCTCTAGTATAATTGCAGAAGAGGCATGTTACCAATCTTTTGTACCTATATGTTGTTCTTCATTCCTGTCATTGCACATAGCAAGGAACCATTGGGGAAGAAACTTCTATACAGACTCTTTTCTTCACAAAGTTTAACAAATTCAGCATTCAGTGTTGCAGAACACTGGTGACATATATCATTTCTTGTCCTGGCTGTTCCACTGGTGTCTGTGACCAAGTGTTTGGGGGAACCTCCTTTGTACAGCTGTATATATGGATAGAGGTTTGCTTGCAACTCAAGTGCAGGCAGCGTGGTCTAGCAAGAAGTGATCTTGTGGGGGAACCTGCCATTTTCCTCATTCTTCTCCTGCTCAATTTCCAGAAAAACTCATGTTCAAGAATGCACCAACTCCTCAGGAGTTCAAAGAGGGGGAAGATGCTGTGATTGTATGTGATGTGGTCAGCTCTCTCCCCCCAACCATCATCTGGAAACACAAAGGCCGAGATGTCATCCTGAAAAAAGATGGTGAGAACTGAACTTCTTGGTCAAGGCCTTTCTCCATGGGCCGTCAAGTTCTCTAGGTCTCCCAGCCCCTAAGGCCCTCCAGTCCAAACCCAGATTCAGGTGCCCCGGGATCCACATGCATATATGGTCAATTGAGACACCTGATCTTCTCTCTAAAGCAAAAGAGAGTTTCCAGTAGACTGTTGCTCTTGGCTATATTTCAGAGCCAGGAACACATTTTCCTATTTCACCCTAACGCCTCGCCCCATAAGACTGAAAATAGGAAAGAGGAAAGAGGCTCATCTACCTGCTTGCAGAATCCAGATTTCTCTTACTGATCCTTGAATCAACCTGCCTCTTGTCTCTTCTAGTCCGATTCATAGTCCTGTCCAACAACTACCTGCAGATCCGAGGCATCAAGAAAACAGATGAGGGCACTTACCGCTGTGAGGGCAGAATCCTGGCTCGGGGGGAGATCAACTTCAAGGACATTCAGGTTGTTGTGAATGGTGAGAAAATCCGTCCTTCCTGTTCTCTTTGCTACAGCCTTGACTGCCCCAAGTTCAGTCATTTTCTTTAACTTCCTCTTTGGTCTATATAATAAATCCTGTCTTGATTTGTACATACATCACAGCTGAATCCTCTCCCCACCATAACCTCTAGAGGGTTTTTTCTTGTTTTTTTTCCCATTTTTAATACACTTGTTTTTCAGGTCTCTCCTCAACTATGGGGGTTTAGTGCAGTTATTAAATGTCCTTCATTATCTAGCAGCACTAGAAATTTTCCCCATCCTTACTAATAAGTTCTTATTCATCCTCATTGTCCTTGGTGTTATTGTAATTGTGAAGTTGGTACCCTTGGTTCAATGTGCAGAGAAAATATTACAATCAGTTCAGGTCTCAGAATACTCAGAATCATGGTCCGTGGGCTTATTAATCTTAATTTGCAGTGTCAAATAAACACACCCACAGAAACAATCTGACATTTACAAGATGTTTACAGGATATTATAATGTCAGTACTAAGAAAATAAGTAAATGGCTTTTGTTTTGGTACCAGGGATCGAACTTGGGTCCTTATGCTTGCAAGGCAGGTGGCAGAACCACTGAGCTAAATCCCCAGCCCTAAATGGCTTTTGAATTGTTTGGGCTATTGATATACATGTTTTGCCAAACTCTCCCCCTCTCATTTCCTTGGTCAAAGCAGTTTGTACACAAAGTTGTTTATGATGATTCCACAGAAATGTCACTCTGGTGAGCTGACACACTTCAAAATGGTGTTAACCTTATAACCATCAGAGATAGTAATTTTTGTTTTTTTCCAGTATCAAGAGCCCCTTTTTAACATCAAGTTTGACCAACATTGGTAAATATTTACTGTGCATTGATTGAGAAAATATATAATGACAAATAGCTATAATGACTATATATAAATCAACTACCATTTTAACATGAATAAAATGTAGCATCATAGCTTCTAACTCTTGAAAAACAATAATGCATGTTTGAGGGCAAATTGTTGCTGCAGTTTACAGTAATTATTTACTGCACAAATGAATTTAGATCCCTTACACCAACTCTACAGCCATCTGGGACCCATGACCCCTGTGTGAAACTCCCTGACCTGGGGACCTTTGAAGTGTCTCTTCTCCAGGCTGTTGTGTTCTCCCAAATTTTCAGTGACCCTTGACATCTTTCTTTCCTTCAGTGCCACCCACTGTCCAGGCCAGGCAGAGCATTGTGAATGCCACCGCCAACCTGGGCCAGTCTGTCACCCTGGTGTGTGATGCAGAAGGCTTCCCTGAGCCCACCATGAGCTGGACAAAGTAAGAAACTGGCTGGTACCTTGTATCATGGCTAGAGATGAAGGGGACATCGTAGGTCCTTCTTCATGTTGGCATTTCAGTGGCATGGATTTGGGGTTCTTGCAAATATGAACTCCATGTGAAGAGTGAATTCTTTTCTATAAGATTCCCTTGCCTTATGCATTGGATTATTCTTTCATTTTCAGTCTTGTGGGGACAGGTCCAGAAGATGTGACCTAGGGGACTTCAACCTTGTGAGTGCAGTTTACAGCTCTTAAACAGAGTCAGAGAAGTGGGTAGAGAAATAAAAGGTGTATGTAGATGTACAACTTGGTGTCTTCCCTTTTTGTGAAGACTAAGTATTTTTTATTTGCTCAGTTGGCATTTTGTGGAAACTAATTAAAATTAAATCTCTTAACACTGGGATCCAAATAATAGTCTTTTGTTTTTCTGCTCCTTGTAGAGATGGAGAACCAATAGAGAATGAGGAAGATGATGAGAAGTACATCTTCAGCGATGACAGTTCTGAGCTGACCATCAGGAAAGTTGATAAGAACGATGAAGCTGAGTATGTCTGCATTGCTGAGAACAAGGCTGGCGAGCAGGATGCGTCCATCCATCTCAAGGTCTTTGGTAAGGGCAGCTGTAGTCCTCTTACCCTTCACACTGAATCCATCAGAGAGACCGTCCACTCTACTTGAAATAAATCCCAAAGCAACCATTTCTTATCACCTCCACCACCTAAACCCCAGTTCAAGCCACCTCAAGTTCACCTGGACAGTAAGAATTTCCTTGCTGGTCTCCCTGCCTCCCTCTGCCCCGGTCCTCTTCAGTGCCTTCTACTCCCAGTAGCCAGAATGCCCTGAAGACCACTGCTTTTTACAAAATCTTGCTGCAACCAGAATAGAATCCAGTCTTCCTGTCTCCATCACCAGCCTCATCTTCCCTTCCCTTTACTCCACACTGGAACCTCTCCAACCATACACAGTTTTTCAGGTTCCTGGAACACATTAAGGTTGTTCCCTACCTCAGGGGCATTGCACTTAATGTTCTTCTGCTTGGACTATCACTCCCTGTGATCAGCTCTGAACTACCTTCTTATCACCATTCAGACAACAATGCAAGCTTTCCTCTATGCAGTCCGCTTTTACTGCCCTGGCTAACCATCATCATTCTTATCTACACTCACCTCTGTGAATCTTTTCCAGAACTCTTACTACATCTTCTGCATTTACCAGTACTTGAATTAATTTTATAAACATAGTTGTTTGGGGGATTATTTATTTCCCATGCCCACTAACATAGAAACTCCAGGATGTCAGAATGCTGGCTTACATCTTGCTTTCTTCCTGGCACTGTAAACAACACCAGACTCATAACAGGCCCTGGGTAGATATCCATGACCAACCAACTGACTGCCTCATCTTTCTATTGCTTCCTTCACTGTCATAGATAGTCATGAAAAGGGTCCCTGCATCATTCTCCATCATGTCCTCATAAGCTCAGCAAACTAAACTCCCATTCATTTCAGAACTGAAAGGCATTTTGACCTGACCTTGCAAAAGGAATTTGTTGTAGAGAACTGTTCACCCTGTGGTTCTCAACTCTCTCTCCGCTTATCTGTTCAAAAAGCACAGATAAGCTGGCACACTGTACATGGTGCTGTTCCTGTTTGAGTACAGGTGCCTGAGGGACAGCTCTGAGCACACCTTCTCCCATACAGTCAGAATGTACACCTGGGAACCATCCAGGGGACCCACTTTTTGAGCCTGATCAGGGCTGTGTGTAAACACGTAGTTGAAAATCAAGTGTGTGTATGCAGATGGCCCTGCTAATCACAGATGAATCTCATTTATTCCTTGATGACAACAGGACTCAGAAATAGATTATCAGTTTGAGACAACTGGGTGTACTTGAGAGTGAAAGCTAAACTTCATGAAAAGCATCCTAGGAAGACTTCACACTTATCTTCCCCAATCACTCTGATTAAGTTCTTTCATATTGTAGGAAAGGACAGATTAATCCTTTAATTCTTTTCCTCCATTTAACAAATATTTGTTGAATATCAGTGCTACAGGACAGAGGGACTACAGAGATGAGTAGAATTTTTTTAGTATATGTGCTGCCAAAGCGAGCACAAGTAGAATTTTTTTAATCTGTCTTTTTTGGGGGGATGTTAGTATACGTTTTTGATAATGAATACATTTACAGCGGGGAGTTGAAACATATACATATCACATCTCAATCCTTTTTACTTCCCCTTCCTCTCCCTACCTGCTGCTCTCCCCCATCCCTATATCCCCTTTGAGCCTGAGAAACAGGTGGAGATAAACCTATAAGAATTCTAATGAAATAGGTAGTGTAAGTCAAGCACATTTAAGAGCCTGCTATGGACCCAGTCATTACCAAGTTAACAAAGATGAATAATGTGGATTCTGAGCTCATCAGTAGGTTTGCAGACTAGTGTAGATGGCCACTACAGAAATTTTAAATCACAACTCCTTACAATGACTTCATAGTAACAGTTTGCAATGTTTTATAAGAAAAGATCTCTGGTCCTGTGTGACCTAGTTAAGTCATCGAAACAAGATGTTTTATCAGATGAAGAAGGACTGGACAAGCATTTCAGGCAGGAAAAGCACATGCTGTGTTGCATGTAAGCTGTTTATGGACAGGACTGAGCCTATTCGGCTCACAGATCTGTTCCCAGCACCTGGGACAGTACCTGGGACAGTAGGCATTAGCATTTGAATACTGTAAATGAAGTGCCTGCCTTCAGTTCTTTGTGAATCAAAGTTCCCTATGAATCAAACTATAACTTACACAGCAAGGGGATGAGCCTGGAATTCTGCTATCATCGCTTGTCTTTAAGAAATTCTTTTAGAGGACCATGCTAAGGTGTTTTTACCCCTGTAGTGATAATAGATGGTTTTGTCTTTCAGGAGATTTGTCTACTTTCATTCTACTCTCTTATTTGCCCTAAAAGGACACTTGTAGGTTCCAATTTAGGATTATCAAGAGATAACCTTTGAAATGTGATGACCTTTAAATTTATTTTTGAATTTCAGTGGTGGGATAGAACCTGGGTAAGAAATTATTTCAGTGGTCTTGAGTACCAGGAGGCAGAATAATTCACTTTGTTTAAAACAAGGTTCATTTTTGTTTTTTATTGTTGAAATGGACTAGTGGCTGGACATGGTATACACACCTGTAATCCCAGATACTCAAGAGGCTGGAGCAGGAGGGTCACAGCAAGTTCAAGACTAGCCTGGGCAACTTAGCAAGACCCTGTCCCAAAGGGCAGGGGGAGTAGCAGCATGGTAAAGCACTTGCCTATCTTGTGGGAGGCCCTGGTGCAGTCTCCAGTACCAAAATAAATAAATATATAAATAAATGGACTAGAAAGTGAAGTTTGTGCAAACATTGTCTTGAAATAAGTAAGAGATATGCTAGCCCACAGATGAGCTTTGTTGACAGTATCCCTTTATTTTTATATAAAGTCTTAATATTTGAAAAGTGGTTATTGTTATAAAGTAAAATTCTCTTTTCTTATTCTGATATATCATATTTCATGTTTCTATTTGAAAACAAGTTATTATGAGAAATAATACATTAGGAAAATCCTATAGATAGTGTTTTGGCTTGATATGTAATCACTGTGTTTCATAATAGCTTTTGGAATAACAAAGTTTTGTGAAATGCTGGCCTTGTGTATATCTTAGAATGCAAATAAAGAAATTCTTTTAGGCATTAACCTCATACAGTATAATAATAATACTCAACACAAACTAGCACTTACACTGTGTACTTACTCTGTAAAGTGCTATCTGTAAATTATCTTTTAATCTTCATTACAATCCTATGAAGTAGATTTAATTATTATCCCCATTTTATAAACGAATGCAGATATTATGTGCCTCCCCCAAGGAGCCAGGATTCAAACCGAGGCAGTTGGCTTCTAAGTCCATTCTCTGAGCTAATAGTGGTGGTTACCATTCCATAGCACTGGATGGTACACACACTGTATCTGAGTTGCTAGGCAATAGCTAGTGACATGGGAACCAGTGTGCCTTCACTTTATTACCATGCTTCTTGTGTATTCTTTGTGCAGCATGCTCAGCTCTAATGTGGCTGCCTCAGGCAGGAAGAGCAAGTGGTGAGGCGCAGGTGGGTCCAAGGTAGAATGAATAGAAGATGAAGCTCTGGGGTCAGAGGTAATGAAGCAGGGAGAGTAGGATGGGGAAGCAGGCAAGGCAGAACTTGCCCTCCCATACCCACCCTCGGTGCATACAGCCTTCTACATCACATGCACACACGTGCACAACCCAAAGTGACCTAAGACTGGAGCTGGGGCAGTGTACACTAGGCAGCATAGTGGAGCAACTAGAGGACAGGTAGCTGGGCTTCTGGTGAGACAGATGAGGAAATTGGAGATTTGTAGGGACTGTGTTGAATCCAGAATGAGAATCCTCTGTAACATTCCCAGGAGACTTCTGCAACCTCTTTGAAATACCTGTTGCCTTTTGTATACCTTCTTTCCATCTCCTTTTCACCTCCTTTCTCTTCTCTTCACCTCAGGAGACTGATATGGGGGCAGGGAATGAGGGGAGCAGGGACCAGCTCTTTAAAGGGTTCCATTATTTTTCTACTCTTTCTCTCTCCTTCTCCTTCTGGCTTATCATCATGGGCCATCTTTCAGGACAAGTAAGCAGGTTCCCCAACAGCTAAAGAAACCTTTAGCTTAGAGAGTAAAGAAGAGCTCACAACTCTTGAGGCTTCAGGAGGGTATGACAATCAGTATGTAAAGGATGTAATTAATCAAAAACTATAGCAATCCTGCCTAGTGACTGCAGTTTTTCTTAGCATGCATTGCCCTAGTTACTAGCTAGAAAGCGCCTTTACTAAGTAATTGCATTGTGCCTTTCTTTAAAATTGGCAGTAAATTTCCATTTCTCATCTCCCTGTGGGCCCTTCTGAAGCATTTTTATCTCTGCAGATTATTACACTCATGCTAATTCTCTTAGGTCTCATACTGCCATGGGATGAGGATGGTTTGCAAATGGGTAGAGGCCTCACTTAGCTGACCCCTTGAATAAAGTAGCCCTTGTGGGTGACAGAGAGGACCAGCAAGGCCTGGAGGAAGGTATACATGGTGATGTCCTCCACTAGTCTGCCCAACCTCTCTGTTTAGGCAAGCAGGGGCCTCCTGGCTCTCCTTGGGTCAGGGTCGCCAGAGCCTGGACAAGACTGGCTCTTGGTGGCAGACTGCAGAGCTATGGACATGCTTGTAAAACTGGCAGGATGCCAGTATTCACTGGAGGTTCCAGAGGAGAAATGCAGTGAAACAGTTGGAGGCACAGAGGCCCATGGAGGCAGGTGAACAATGGAAGAGGGATCCAGAAGCCAAGGGCTCACAGCAGAGGCTGATGAAAATGAAGCAAGGACCCACTGGAAGATAAAACCTGGAGAGAGACCTCTCAGTGCTGGAATGCAGAAGGAGGAAACCTTGTATACATAGCGTGATCCTGCATCTGTCTCTATTTGTCCCTTTTCCCAGTGTAATTAGTTAGAGCATGCCTGTCACTCTCAAATGATATTGTAAACCTTCAGTTAATGTGGATGATAATGTTGCTGCTCGAGTAAGAGAGGATTAAGTCATCAGTGAGAAGCTTGCCTTTTCCCCAGTAGCAACAAAATTAGCCTTTGTTAATAACGTTTTTGATAAAAGTATAGTTCACCTTTTTCTAAAGACTTGTACAGTGCACCCTCTGTAATCGTCTAGGAAATGAAGCCACGTACTAAGAGGTCACCTGACCCTTGTTTGTCTTCAGTTAACCTTTTGCTACCAGAGCAAAGTGATTTAGGTCAGGAGAAGGTCAGCAAACACTGTCTACATCTCGAAATGTAAGTTTCAAGAGGCCAGAAATTCAACCATTCTAAGATTGTCTCCAGACCTCAAAACAATTGTTCAATTTAGTAAAAAGTTGAATTTTGTTTTGTTTTTTCTTTTACTTTTTATTCTGTGATTTTGACAATACATAGATTCAGATTTTATTTTTATCTACCTCTTTATTTTTATATTTATATTATATTACCTTTTTTATTTTATTTTACCGTCTAAAATTTCCTGTTCAACAGCATTTGGCACTTGCATGTAGTACAAGTTATAACCTGAAGAGTTGTATTTATCAAGTTAAATATAAAGCCTTCCTACAGGAAAATTGCATTCACATGGATTCTATCAACTCAAACTTGGGATAATTTGGCTACAATGGATTAGGATGTACCTATGTGCCCACCATTAAAAAAAAAAAAAATAGCACAGAGCCTGCCTGGAAGCTCAAGATCCTGAGTTCAATCCCTGGTACCAAAAAAATAATAATAATAAAATAGTGGGGAAAAAAAAAAGGATTTGCTGAGCATGCTGTTAGTGTGGATTAACTGTAGGAGAATATTTAAAATAGGCAGGTGACTTTATACAGAAGCAGACATATGCTATCAAAAAAAAGTATAGCTCAAGCTGGGCATGGTAGTGCATGCCTATAATCCCAGCACTCAGGAGGCTGAGGCAGGTGGAGTCCTGTGAGTTCTAGGCCAGCCTGGGCTACATAGAGAGTTCAGGGCCTGCCTGAATTACAAAGCAAGACCCTGTCTCAAAACAAACAAACAAAAAAAGGTATAATTCTATCATTGTTTTCTGCTTATTAAGGCAGCATCAAAGACGCAACTGGGAGGATATATACAGGCAATAGGTTATTAGCTTACTTGTGGTTAGTATATGAATTTGAATACAAAAGTAATGTAGTTATTTCAGAAGTTATCCATGCTTCTGGTTTTTGTTGTTGTTGTTGTTATCTCTCTAACCTGGCCCTTTTTTCTCTATTACTGAAATAAGTTACATTTGTGCAGTGTTATCTTTTCTATGGAAGGTTCAGCAATTTCGGAGTATAATTGTTTTAAATTGGGAAAATTCAATTTTCTCTAATGTTTTAACATTTAACTCAGCTTTGGAACGCTTGTGCTTCTTGCATTACCCAAAACATTTGGAAAATGAACTCATCTCAACTCCTCTCCTTCCCATCCTCAGCCCCCAACCAGTTACTCACCTGATTTCTTCACTTGAGTTAATGCTAACACCATATCTCTAGTCATTAAGGTTATGAGCCATTTGGGCTCCTTCTTATTTCTTCTTTCCATTCCCATTTGCCCTCTCTCATTTCCACATTCTATGACCCTTCTTTCCTCTTCCCACTTCTCTCAAAGGTGCCCTTTGCTCTGTTCCCTCCAAAACTACCTCATCCAGGAATCAGTGTTAGCTCACACCTGGGTCGTTGCCAGAGCTTCCAAATTGGTTTCCCTATGTCAAGTTTATCTCCATTGTAAATCACCTTGAATTTTTCCTAGATTAACCGTCTTGAAATACACATGATTATTCCATTGCTCGGATTAAATACCATCTGTCAATGGGCCTCTACCAGCCAGTGGATAAAATTCCCACCATCAACCTTGTTTTCCATGCCTTGTGCTACTTTGCCGTCTTACTGATCTCTCTTTACATGCCCTTGCTTCAGAGTTGCATTTGCTGAAAATTTCACGGCCTTGCCCCAATGCTATCTCCTTGAGAAGGCTCAGACCAAAGTAGCAAAGTAGCACTGTCCCTTAGTGTCATGCCTCTTACATCCATTGCCCTTACGCTCTTACTCCATAGATATATTTTTGCTACTATGGTTTCTGGGTTGCCTCAGCCCACTTCATTGAACCTCCTGGGGTTCAATTCTGGATCTCCTACAACACCTAAACTAGGACCTTGCACTTAATAAATAGATAACCATTGTTGAATGGGTGTATGACATCATTTAAACCCAGGACGCTAAATAGTAATCAAATAAACTCATAGAAATGTTTTGTCTTTTCAGCAAAACCCAAAATCACATATGTGGAGAATCAGACTGCCATGGAGCTGGAGGAGCAGGTCACTCTCACTTGTGAAGCTTCAGGAGACCCCATTCCATCCATCACCTGGAGAACTTCCACCCGAAACATCAGCAGCGAAGAAAAGGTATAATGTCACCCAAGAGTTTCAGGGCTGTGGAATACAGACTCAAAGCACACTAAGTCTGACCCAAGCCCAGTTCTCTTTGGTGAGCCAGAGAGGGGAGGGTGTGGTCACTAGAGGTTGCAGCCAGGTCCTGCAGCCTCCCTCCCTCAGCCTGCCTGAGTGTGGCCTGCTCAGCAGCCCCTTGCAATGGAGCAGGCACAATTCCTTGTGTAAATTGGTGGGGGTGTGATAGTAGTGGGCATGGGGAAGTTAGATGTTCTGGGGAGGAGGTGATAGCAATTTTCAAACCCAGGGTTATAGGGCTGTGAGGAACAAGAAGCAAGATCCGGATCATCTCAGGAGCACCCAGGGAAAGGTCTCCCAGAAACGGCAGGAATCAAAATGAGCCTATGAATTCTTTTCCTCACTTTTCCTATACTCATGCTATGTATGCACTATATGCACAAAAGCTTGGTTGCCTTTGTGTCTGCCTGTATTTTTGGTCACATTTGAATTTCATTTTGTTCTAAAGGCAAAAATAATTAGCAGTTTCTAAATGATGATGATTACACTTGGGTTTTGTAATGTATTCACGGAGGGTTTCAGAACATTATAGTAACCTTCCAGACAGATTAAAATAAATGGAAAGACTTATCTTTAAAGCATGTAGATTTATAGGCCACCAGAAAGCTATTGTTATAGCTGACAATATATAAAAATTGAACTGAACCCCTCTCATCATGTAGCCCTTTGTACTGAGTGAACCAAAAACAGGAAAAGGAAAAAGCTTGGTTTTAAAGCAACCTTAAACCCTTTTATGGCACTTCTCCAATCTCATCTCATATATCCTGTAGTAATGGGTTTCATTTAGTTAGCCAAAGCTTTGTTACTTATTCTGGAGTAATGGCCTTAGCCTTAAAGAACATTTATAATGGATTGCTTATTGACCAAAGTGTCAAAAATAATAGATCTTCACTCTTCTGCCTACTTAAAGGAAATCCCTAGAAAGGATAAACTCAAATAAAGCCAAAAAAGGAGTGTGAAATGATACCAGAGCTAAATTTGGAATTTGCATTTGAGGAATGGATTTCTTCCCCGCTAATAGAAAACAAAGCTAAATCAAAAAGAACAGTCATTGCTGTTCCAGATAGCTCATTATTTTTTTTTTGCAAGTTTTACATCCAGATTTGAATTCAACTTCACAAAAACTCAACTGAGGAACTGCTAAATATTTTTGAAACACATATGCTGTTTGATATGTGAAAACCAGCTAGATTAAGAAATGTGTTTATTTGGATACTTTCTTTATCAACATTGGAAATAAACCCTCAGCTAAGATTTCAGCTCCCATTGTGTGTTATGTGGATTGAATGTACATTTCAGGGCTTAATCCACAGGGCCACTACTTGGCACGTCTTTCTCCATTAGAGTTAAAAGTAGCTTTGTCCAGAGTGACTCAGTGCATATCTTTGACCTATAGTGAAGGACAGAAATATCTATCTCAGATGGATCCTGCTTTTAAATTCTCTTTTCTAGGATAGCTTAACAGCGAAACTAGACCAGACAGATTATTAAGATTTGTGCCTGCCTCACATCTTTAATAAGCTGACATTTCTGACCTCTACCTATGATTTCATTTTCTAGAATGAGAAAAAGTAGCCATAATATATACTTATACCTAGTAAATACAGAGACTGAAGGTGTCCAAAAAGGCCTTCTTACAGCTATCAAGAACTGATTTTTCATACAATTCAGTTTTCAGTATATGTCATCTGTCTTAAACTGAGATAATTATTCAAACTAAGCCACATAGGTTATACTGAGGTTTCTTTTGCTGTAGACTACCTGCAGATTTACTTGAAATGACATTATTGGAGCATGAGTCAGTAAATGTTAGAACAAGTCCTCCGAGTAGCTCTAGATGTGACACCAGGTTAATGTATTTGCCTAAATGAAATCCTACATAACAAAATATGACATTTCTATTAAGCATTGACATCCAAGAGGCATAGATAGCTAATAATAAAGAAAACAAATGAGTTATGCATGAGCAGTTTGGATTCTAGAAAATAAACTTCACTTTTATTTTGGCAAACTCCTTGTATTCTACTTGCACTAAAGTTGTATTATATATATATATATATATATATATATATATATATATATATTTATAATTAGGCTTTGAGATTATTAGCATCATTGAATTGTAGGAGTTGTAGATAACAATTTTATTTTTAAAATTAGAATGGTATGCTAATCAGGTTGTTTCTGATTAGTAAAGAAACCTCCTAAGATTTAGATCACATGAAATACTAGAATTGTAGGAAGTTGGAAGGCACCTATTAAGGTTATTTGGTCTCATCTGGCTCCCTTTTCTAGCACCCCTGCTGGAAAGTCATTTAGTCCCTGTCTGAAGTATGATGGTCTCTCTGTCCCTCTGTGGAAGAGTCAGCCAACGGCGATGATCAGGAAGGGCTCCTTTCTTGCTCCTTCCTCTGTTAAGTGCTCCCCACCTCTGCCACTCAGTCCTGAGAATCACTCAAGTAATTCTCCTGTTTTCCTTTAGCCAATCTATCCTTTTGCACTTAATACACCCAGCCATTGCCACTGTTTCTCACGTCATGGTTTCTACATCCCTTCAGTTCACTAGTGCTCCTCCAAGATGGTGCCATGCCCAGTGTACTTTACACAGACTTTAGAGCTGGACACCATCATGCAGTTAAAGTTGCATTAGTCCTTGAATAGTGTCCTCCTTCTACTACTTCAGATTGAGCTTGTGGTCAACCAAAATGTGCAGGTCTTTTTTGCATGAACTGCATTTAAGCCACATATCCCCTATACTGTTTGTTCTCACACAATTGATTGCTTTAACCAACCATGTGGAATTTATACTTATTTCTGTTAAGAATTATATTTTGTTTGTTGCAGCCCAGTGTTCCTCAACAGGGTCATTATGGCAATTTGGGAAGAATCTTTCTTCACTGGGTCTGTCCTATGCATTGCAAGATGTTTAGCTAGTCTTCTCCTTAAATGCCAATATTCACCTCTGGTCATTGTGAAAAGTTCCACATGTACACACACTTTCAGCTTAAGGACAACTGTTTCAGCTATATATCCAACTTGTAAGGTTGACTTCATCAGAACTATCCTTAGACATCTGCGAGTCAAGGCATTTCATCCCTTATAGGGCCCCTATTTATATATATATATATATAAATAAATAAATGTAAAAGAAGAGTTCATAGTGACCACAGCCCTAAGCATAAAATCTAAAGATAAACAATTCAGTAGTCTTCACAGTGCAACTATCATCTAACATATATATTAGCTGTTGTTTCCAAACTTGTTGAACACTTGTTTGAAATATCTTTGCTCAAGCCACTGATAAAAATGCTGTGTGAGGCAAGGTCAGCTCCAGAGCCCTCCTCATGGTTTCCTGCTGGGTCGGTGGCTCAGAAGGTAAAGCACCAGATACCACTGTGCCGTGGAGTTCTTTATGATTCTGAGGACCTTAATGGAAAGTCAATGGTCTCTTTAATAAAGTTAGTTAAAATACAAAGGAATTAAAGGAGTCATTTTGTGTCATTCTTAAGTCTGATAGTCTGTTACTACCTTTCTTATGGGAAAGGGAGAAAAGGAGAAGCAGCTTTTACCCATAGACATACAGAGACTTTCTTTTTGTTTTGTTTTGTTTTGTTTTGGTACTGGGGATCGAACTTGGGACCTTGCACTTTCGAGGAAGACGGCAGAACCACTGAGCTAAATCCCCAGCCCTCGGAGATTCTCTAATGGAATATCAATGTTCTTCATTTTAAAAAAGAAAGCAAGGGAAAAGCAAAACCAGTACAGTGAATATGATCATCACCCCTATCCTTGATCATTTCTCTGGATTGAGTCTAGTTACCAGTTTGAAAATGATCATTGTCAATCTGTTAACATGCTACTTGAGTTCATTTAGCTTTGCAGTTGGTAATAAGCTAAGTCTAATTGTTTGGATCAGTGAGATTATTAAGGCAGATCAATTTTCCAAAAGTTGAGCCATTTCTTAGTGGTTGCTATTATCTTCACAAAAAATGTTGGACATCATAATGACTCAGTTTGATCATGTGTATGACGGTCTTGTGATACTACAGAAAGTTTGTGCATCTGCATCATTTCATTACTCACCCTACACAGATTCATCTTAAATATCTCCAGGTGTTTGACTGAGTGTTGCTAAATTCCAAGTACCATTTACATATTGAGTGAGACCCAGGGATAATGATTTGCATACACCATCCCTGGCAGAAAAAAAATATTCATCATTTTCTTCTTTGAACACCTCTGTGCCTTTGAGATGACTGCAAACAAAGACTCATAAAGCCATAATGGTTAAGGGAAAAGAGAGGAGTAAAGAGTTGATATCAGGAGACATAGGTAAGAAAGAAGAAAAGCGTCTTGTAACTCTTGCATCTTTGACTGACAGAGTATACCACAAATAAGAGAGCCCTGTTGAAATTGTGGATTTTTTGCAAAGTGGAGCTTTCCGTTCACCAGGAGGAATTCTTCATTCAGGACAAGCCCACCTTTTCCAGTTGTAAACACTGAGCTATCAGAGCCTAGTTTATCTAGGGTATGGGCAAATGTATCACAGGGAATCCTCAAGATGAGCATAGGGATGCCTTGCTTTCATTTATGTACATATGCCTGGAGTCTTACATGTAAGACAATAAAACATGAATATTAAAGCAATCGAACTAACATTTTTTGAAGCACTACTAATAATACCCTAATTTGTTTCCTAAGCATGTGTAGATTGTCTTAACCAGCAACTACTTAGTCTCAAAACTACAGAATCATAGTGACTTGAGAAAGACACAGAAGAATCAGATTTGAAAACTAAAAAATTCTGTATAAGATAGCCCCTTAATAAAAAACCTTGATTCATTCAGCCCTGGCATGTGACAAACAAGCTTTTCAGTGCTGTGGAATTGGCAATTACATTTGACATGTTGGCCCTGCCCACTGTTACTTTGGTTTAT